CATCTAAGATCAAGCTTAGTAAAGATCTTTGCTTTTGGCAAACAATCTATAAGGTCACCAATACGTGGTATAGGAAACCAGTTTTTCTTTGTGACTGTGTTTAATGCTCAGTAGTTTTACACTAATTGTAGTGATCCATCTTTCTTTGTAACAAAGAATACTGCTGCCGCAGTAGGACTTTTGGATTTCCTAATATAGCCTTTTTCTAACTGTTTGGCAATCCATTCACGGAGACTGTTGTCTTCCGCAGGCATAAGATGGTACACCTTTGATGGTTTAGGGAGCTCTTCGCCCTCTTTGATCTCAATTTGATGATCGTAAGGCTTCCTTTGGCATACGCTTAGAAGATTCTTTGCTAAACACTTTAGCAAATTGTTTGTATTGTTCAGGTATGGCTGAATCTTCGAGTGTCTTGTGAACTCCAGGAGAATCCATTGCATTACAAATTGCTTGCATGGTATTCTCGGTTTCATTGGTATAATGTATCCAATTTATACCATAGTTGAGATCCTCAAGGTTGTCCGCAGAATCATGGGTCATTCCAAATCCTGCAGGCATCTCATCTTCGTGTTGGAGATCTAGTTCGTAAATCTCCTCATGCTCTACAGAATGATTGCTTCTCATTTTGTAGCCACATGACTCTGAGCATCTTAAAGATTTCCAAGTTCCCTCAGCCCAGTTGATCTCAGGGTTATGTTTTTGAAGATAATTCATCCCGATAATCATATCTTTAGATCCAAGGTCTGTCACCAGACATGCATGCTTACTCTCATGATCTCCGATCTTCAGGAAAGCCATGACCATAGTCTTTATATGACCTCCATGGTTTACAGATCCATCGGCATTTATAACTGTGAAAGGATGTGGCAAATCCTCTTCAAACAAGTTATGTTCCTCTATAAACTGGCGGTTGATAAATGTTGAAAATGCACCACTATCAACTAGTGCATTCATCACTATCTCTTTCTTTCCTTTGGCTGTTATGATCACAGGTACAGTAAATTTATTTTTCATTTTTGACGAATTAAATATACACAATTCATCAGTTATTTTACAAATTTCTGGCTGATCTTTCATAATATAGTTACAAGTGAAAGAATGTTCGACACCTGACTGTCTGGTAGTATTTACAACAGGTGTCTGCCAAAACCCTGCTCATTATCCTCATCAGAATCTATCTCCGAGATATGACCTGACGGACTTGGCAAGCGTGAAGGTTCAATGATCCTTGTGATCTTGACCTTCTTTTGTTTCTTTAAAGGGCGTGGTACAGCTTCTGGTGTAACAGCTGCCGCTTCAATGGCCTTTGCTGGTTTTGCAGGGTTTCCAGTTCCCTTTTTTCGTACAACTTGAATTTCTACATCTGAATCATTATCGCTAGATAATTCAGTTTGTCAAATTCTTCTAAACTGAGGTTTAGAGAAATCCGGCAATTTCCCTTTACTACTTCCAGAAGTAGAAGTTGTGTTTGCTACTGCAGGTTTAGCTGCAGAGTCTCCTGATTTCCTATTAGGGCACAATCTGCCCTAGTGTCCTTTTATGCTGCAAATGTAGCATATGCCTTTCTTCTGTGCTTCAGCCATACTCATAGCATTGCCCTCCTGCTGTTTTCTTGGGTCAGGAGTGCTCCTTTGCTGTTGAGTTGGTCTGGAACCAGACTGCTTCTGTTTGGATGTATTATCCACCTCCATGGCGTTCAGATCTTTTGAAGATGATGGGCCTATTGATGACACCGACTGTTTAATTCCCATATTGTGACAAATGTCGAGTATGTAATCACAATACTCCGACCATTTCTTTGGCCATTGGGAACTTCCCCTGGCCGCAAGGACATTTCTAATTTCCTTGTGCAATCTGTCTCTGATTGTGGCAATTAATTCACTGTCAGTTGACTTCACGAGGTCTGCCAAACCTCTGAATTCACCAATCAACTTCACGGTATCTTGTGCTGTGACAGTTTCATATTTCCGGAGCATTTCCAGGAATTCCTGACACGCATCTTCTTCTTGATCTGTTGTGGTAAAGGCCCTCCTCATCTGGTGTAGAAAATCTTCATATGACCCCAGATCTTTAGAATCTTTAACCCTTTGATAATAATTACCGGCCACTGTGTGGGCACAGCCTTCCAATAGAGCAAGTACACCTGTGATTCAGTCTCTGTCCGAAGTCACTTTTTGGTGTGCATACCATACAGCCAGTTTTTCAACAAACTGTTCAAAGGTCTGCTCCTTTGAATTGTTTGCGAACCTTCCTGGTTGCGCATTTCTGAACCTCCTTTCTTCTTGGTCCTGTGACATTGTTGTCGCAGGTCATTGTAGTATCTCTTGATTGAACCACCCAAGCAAGGCATTCATCTCATTTCGCAATTGTGCATTGTCTGCTTCTACCGCTGCTAGGTGACTGTCAGCTGCAGTAATTTCAGTCCTTTGATCTGATACTGTTTGGTCGATACGTCCCAGGTGCATAAAGATATCTCTGAAGACCCTTTGAATTTCTAACTGAAGAGAAGTTGTTGTGCTTTGAAGTATTTCCTTCCACGCTCTTCTAGTTGCTTCATGGTTATCTCCAGGATAATATCTCACTATTATTCCCTCATCAATTTGGGGATTTAATAGGTACCAAGACAGGTCTGGTTCTGGGCCAGCTGGTGGTATTGTTGTGGTAGAAGTTGACATGGTTCAATTTGTGATAAGATAGTACAATTTTTGTAGTAAGCATCCTTTTGTTTACTACTGACATCCAATGGATATCCAGATAAAAACTTCAGAGAGTGTTATTCCAAATAACACTATCTCTGCCCAACTCCATGTGATCACTCTCTCTCAATATCTCCTTTACTAATCTTCCGAGGTTCCTATGCCTCGCATCACCAAACTTGTCCTTGACTCAATTAACAAATTGCACTAGCAACCGTCTTGTAATCGGTCTGTATACATCTGTGCCTCAATAGTTGATATTAGAAAGAATACCTCCTATTCTTCTCAAAAGGAAATGTATCTGTTCCTGCTGCATCGTATTCAAAAGTGAATAGCCCACCTTATGCTGGAGCCCTTGCAGATCACAGTGGATGCGATTCAAATGTTGTTTGTTGACAAAAGCAGATGAGTCTTCTCGATGTCTTCTTTGTCGGTGTACTTGTCGAACTCCTTCAGCCCTAGCGTAGGGTTGAGGGACGTACTCAACTGTTTGTTCTGGTCCCGCTCAAAACCTATTGATGTCCTGTTGGACGCTGTCTGTGATGGGGATAGGGGGGCGTGTACGAGAGTAGGGGTGAAAATACCGCTGCTGCTCTCCTAGCATGTCCCTAAGTGTAGTCCTCCTACTCTGAAGCCAAGGAGGAAAAGGTCTTGAGGGAGCCACGCGCTCTTGTCGATCTCCTTCTGAGATTGAAGAGTCACTTACACTACTCTCCGAGCTGATTACTGTGTGGGTCCTCCAATATCTCTCCTGTTGCTGTCATATACTCGAGAGGTGATTCCTCTCGCTCAATTTGTTCTAGTCCTTCTGCTAGGCCTAGGAAATTGGGACGAAGACAGTTATCTTCATATGTGGGGGGTGCAGGGAGATATTCTGGTGGTGGTGGCAAGTAGGGAGGTGCTGCTGTCCTCGCTATCTCGTCAGCAAAAGGTGATATTATGGGTGCTTGGCTCAGGTTGAAGTTGTGTGGGTCACCACCCAGTTCTTCTGTTTGAGCCCTCTCGACTACTCCTGTGATCAGATTGTTCTGAACTGCCGCTAAAATTAGCTTGGCTTCAGGTCCTCCTACTCTACACCAGAGTTCTTCTTCGGATGCACTTCTTACTATCTCGACAAGTTCAGGCAATTCTGTAACTCGACGCAAGAACCACTGAGTAGGAATAGGTTGGCGAGGTGATGCTGGGATAGGCAAGTCACTTTCCTGTACTTCTTCTGCTACATTCAAATCCTGTTCCGCTAACCTGACCGATTCTCTAAGGGCCTCCGCTAGCCCGATGTACTCTCTGTAGAGTACTTCTTTGGCAGGATCTTCAAGTCCTCCAGCGGCTAGACTTGCAAGTCATGCTTCGACGAATTGAAGTTGTTCAGTAGGTGTCCCAAAGAATGGGAAAGAGGATAGGGGGGATGGGACATGAGCTTCTTGAAGGTCCTGGGCAAACTGAGAAGTGTGCAAAGACACTTCCCAGGTGGAGTGAGTTTATCTGTGAAACAAATGGGACGACCAAAAGAAGGATGTCGATAATGACAATCGACAAATAGGATAGTCTGTTCTTAATGTCAAGGTATCGCCCTTGACCTTAACCCTAACTCTAACCCCAGTACTCACTTGTGTGATTCTGGTAGTTGACAAGAGGTAAGATGCTTGACTTGTCTTGTGAGCTGTTAACTCAGAGAGAGAGTAGAGTGAAGTAGATGGTATATGTTCGCTAAGAACAGACTGCTGTACTACGCTGGATTGCTCTGGTATTTTATACATGAGGGACCAGACCCCGGATACTACTGGTAGTACACCTAACACCTAGGATGACTGATGCTTGTGATACGCTATTGGCTATCTAAGAATACCTAGCGCGTGAACCATTGTCCTGTCCATGTGTTCGGTCAGCAGTCTGCTATGTGATGATCACCTGAACGACTGTGTGTGTCTCTAGTACAAATGGAGAAATCCCATGTGAATGTATGATAGCCCATTTGACTGCTTTGGACAAGGCTAGACACCTGAACTAGTAACCATGTCACCATGCATTATGTATATCCTTATCTAGGTAGATATCTAATTGGATAAGATGTAGATCATCTAGACACTGTAGATAAGATAGGCACCATGAAATTCTATGACAACTGTAGAGGGCGTATTCTGAGTGAAAGCAAGTGAATGACTATAATTAGTCTGGTGTCAAGGTATTGCCCTTGACCCTAACCCTAACTCTAATCCCTAGACTCACTTGTGTGGTTTTGGTGATTACAAAGGTGGTAAGTGAGGCTTAGTCTTTGGGAGTTGATAAACTCAGAGAAAGAGGTTGAGAGTGAAGTAGACAAGGTAGACTGAGTAAGATCAGACTGCCTTTCTACGCTGGATTGCTCTGGTATTTATACATGTGGGACCAGACCCCAGATACTACTGGTAGTACACCTAACACTGTTACAGCTTAGAGGGGGGTTTCCTTTTCTTTCCTAACTATTTGTCGTTGACCCTGTAC